CAATCAACTAAGTAAATTTGCCCAACGATGTGCTTTTAAGATAAAATTCCTATGCAATTTAGGACAGACTTGAAGTACCAAAAATATTGTTCTCAAGTTTCAGACAGCAAGCAGGCAAATCTGCAGAATGAAGGAATGTGGGAAAGCTGTGCAAACGTTGGAAAGCACCTCATAAACTATTTCAAAGGAAAAAAATGTTTCCGAAAATCTATTTGAAGACAGTGGGTGAATTCCTCTACATGGCGTTGCCTCCAACTCCTATAGGTTTGTATTAGAGAAAGGATGAACACTTACTTCTAATATCCATTTCAGAACTGTATAAATTATTAAGAGTGAGGTCAAAAAGATTTCGACAATCAGATTAGAAGTCAGTAAATCCCCCTTTCCAAGTCTTTCCCAATTTTAATATCCAAAGCCCTGCAATTTACTTTTCAGCTTTTATTTTTGAGAGAAACAGCAGTTAATGATTTGAATTAAGGCATATCAAGGATAATTTTGCCTTATTCGGATAAGTTAGCCTCGCAACATCAATGCCATCGGAGCGTCAAAACGTTTTAAAAATGTTACAGTTGGCTTAGTGGGTGGCATGATGATCAGGTAAAATGTATATTGTTGAGCTACTAATTCTGAATTAACTTTACCTCTCAGCGTATTTAATTAGTCGGAATTCTTATGGGATGCAATTTAAATGGACTAGTTTAGCGTTCTCATAGGTTTTATCTCTCTCTCCGCAAATTAAATGCAAATCGAGCAAAATTTTCCGAAAACAGTTCGCTTAATTGCAACCAGATTAATTAACTCCTGAATTATTAAAAAGTCATTTGAAAATCTCAAGTTGAAATTAATTTAAATTAAAATTGTTATGTGCAAATTTAGCTTTAATTCCTGAGTATGCGACTTAAGTTTGTTTAAATAAATGGATTAACCTTAAAAAGTTGAGAATGACAATTTAGCCTAATTATGAGAAATCCAATTATCCAACTCCAAATACAGTTTTCCTACTTCTTCCATTTGATTTATCTGCCAAATTAAATTATGGCAGCAGATGTAGCTAGAAAAAGAAGTGGCCTTGAATAAATTTTGAAGTTGGAAAGATTTATCGTTGATCTGAGAATTCTCTTAGAGATAGTTGTCTCATAAAGATTGCCTAATTGTTTTCGATAATTGATGGATTAGCTAGATAGATTGAAGTCCTACAAATGCTTTCTTAATTAGAAACTAGATTACAAATCTTATTAATCTTCAAAACAGGACCCTGAGAATTTGTAATTTCAATGTAAAGGAATGAAATATCAACAGTTACGAGGTGCTGGACTAAGCGAAGTATTATAATTCAACGTTTTTATTATCATTGCCCTCGGGTGTATTCTAACATTTAACCACCTTTATTCGCAATATACAGAAAGTAAAATTAAAGCGCACTTGTGAATATACAGCCATAGAAATTATCATGGCGTTGGACATGATCCGACTTGAAAAATCCAAAGCCCTTTTAGAACAGCTTATTCTAACGTAGAGAAAGTAATAGCAACTTAGACTATCACAGGATGGAAATTTGAATTCAGAGGCTCCACTTCTTGCCAAAATTTAACCACTGCACGCCTCAAGATGGGAGATCGATCACGCAAACTTTTATTTCACCGCAAAATTGATTACCAATTTTTCGATATTGATACAGTGCAGGTACTAGTTAAAATAAATGAAAGCATTGTGGCAAATTTCATTCATTTAAGCTATGATAGAAGTTTCTACTAATTTTTAGGTCAATTGACTTAATAATGTTCCCCGAATATAAGCAAGTATTTCAAATAATACTATGAACGTGGGCAATCGCAAAAGGAATAGCCTATCTTAACATTTAATATTGTCCAGAAATAAAAATAACGCGACAAAATTTCTGCATAACTTATATTTGCTAACCGAATTATTTTGTTAAGTTAAATTTGATTAGACTCTGGTGTGTAGTAGAAATTATTGCAATTTATTGAGATCAGCATGGTTTCAGAGACAGAAAAGATGTAGAAAATATCTTGAAGCCCTATATATTAAAGCTAATGTCAAGATAAATATGGAACAATTCCCATTAAAAAAAGATAATGAAACAATTTTACCATACCTGTTCGTCCAACACCGGCTGAACAATGAACGACAGTAGGTCCTAAACGATTGGCCTGGGTATTCTGCAACAAGTTTTCAGAAATTCCATTTTCTTGCACTCCTCTTTGAGATTGTTTTGGTCCTAGAGCCTGTCGTGCCTGACAAACTTGACGAATAAACAGTAGTAGGGGTTGTGGTTGTTCAGGAGCTCCACAATCAGGCCACGCTGTGAACTGGAATTGTTTTATCTGCCTGGATTCTTGCACTGGGTGAAGGTTCTCCATTTCATTATTATACCCTCCATTGAAGTTTTGGGAATTTGTTTCATTGGCATTTGATATGGATGTCATTTTTTGAAGATTGAATGTTCGAATTGTGTAGTATGCATAGTCTGTAGATTCAAGCAGTGTTACTGCAAATGATGTATATTCAACTGAGGTATTTCTAGGTGCATTTTCGGGATAGATAGGATATATCTCTGTTCCACGAGAGGGCCAATATTGATCGCATTTTATTCGGGACCGCTCTTCCAGTTTCGTCATCATCACTATCACTCGGGTATTTTGTTCCCAAATCATGCGCCAAAAATCACCAAATGTCTCTGGAAGCGGACCCTGGTGGAATCGAAATTTAAAATATTGGAATTTTATGCTTTAAAGTGAATTTCGAAGCTTCGTAAATAATAATAATTGGCAAATCTCTGCTTTCGACATCACTAATTAAACATCCGGACCGCCTTTGCAGTAATTTTACGAAATTTCCATACTTTTTAACCAATGGACATATTTTATAAATTCAAATTCTAAATAATGCCATTTATTCTGAACAAATTATCAAAACTAATTCGTAATTCTTGCCAAAAGCGAGCTTATTTGTTAATTTAGTGTTTATTTTATGTTTAGTTTTATCATTTCTTAAGGAACTTTCTAGGCAAAATATTATCTCCGTACAGTTTACAGAACCTTTTTACTTCTGAATAACAACTTTTTTACTCCACGACAGCAACAGTCTTTCAACACTTTGTCAGGACACTTTCTTCAGCAATTAAACTCTTCACTATCAGGTAATGACAAGCGCGATAGCAAGGCAAATAGAAAGGAAGCATAAACACAATTCCAGAAAGTCTATTTATATTGGAGTGCTTGAAACATGAACCTCATTTGATCTATAACCCAAAAATATTTTAGAATAACTGATTTTCTGGAGTGATCAATAATTCAAATCTTTGTAGGTATATACAAGGAGACCTGAATCTTCATCAATTATTCATTTTATTATTTTATTACTCATATTATTGAATCCGAGCAAGTTATTCGAAATGAGCCCAAAATGTTGAAGAGAAACAACTTATACGTAAGCTAATTTAAGCCTTGCCTGGGTTGCGATGTATGCATTCGGACGTCGGTATCCATCTAAGTAGTTAGCGTTAATGTAGTCCGAGCAAGGAACCCCCGGGATTTGATTGAGTAAAACGCGGCTATGGTCGTAGGCAATGACATTAGCATATCGATTTTTCGGTTTATTCAACTCCATGTTGGCATGATGCCAAGTGAACCCACTACCCTGCTCTATGGCTTCATACTCCTTGTAGAGTCCATTGTTGTCGAAGGATTTGAGATTAGCCACATGAACAGCCAGATGATTAAGGGATATTGGTGACTGTCCTGGTAGGGTCTGACCTAAGATTGACTGGGGAGTCTGTCTTAGAGGAGTCCCTGGTGGAGGCAGAGTTGTATTTGGTGTTCCGTTTTCAATAACTTGCGATAATCGGGGTATTGGAGATGTTCTTGTGTTAGAATTTGCTAAAATTAAAACAATGATTAACTTCCGGTTTAGATTAATGCTTTTTATCAATAATTTATTGACAAATTTTTTCCAGGTTAAAATATGCGTATTTTCTGCATATGATTAAAACAAGTTGTATTTATTTTCACAAAATATATAGAGTTAGGTTTGCCGAAGAATGTAAATCATATCCCTTCTTCGAATCAAACTGTACAAAATTACATTGTTTTGTTAATTATTAAAATATTTTATAACCTCTTGACCTCCCATTCGTTAAACTATAAGTATTGTTCCGTTTTAGTTCATTCGCATTTTATGAAAACCAGATTTAGATGGTCAGATGACATGATCTACTTGCTTATTAAATTCATTGAAAAAGCATTAATTGCATGAAAGAAAACTGTTCAGTTTCTGATTGCAAAACTTTATTCTTAAACTCCCTTTGCATCCGTAAGTCTTACTTCCACACCAATGCTATTACCAATTGTATTTTCTCAGTGCCCTTGAATTCACCTCTCGGAATTCAATTACGTCATAATGTGAAAGAAAATAATTTTATACTGTGTTAGTAGCAACGCTCAATTTATAAGCGTATATACGCCACAAAGTAACAAGACTAAAGAGATGAGATATGTACTCGTATTTGATGTCAAACAGATGCTAAATGATTTTTTAGCATAGGGAGATATATGAAGTTAATCTTGAATAATTATAAAATGGACAATGGTGGAAAACAATCGTCAAACAAAACTGAATCACCAAAAACTTGAAGGAAATTCTTACATCCCCTGTCTTGTCTAGATGCGATTTTGAAAAGCTGCATCTTCCTTTTCAACTATTTTTATTTCCAACGTTAAAATGAACTAAAGATTCGCACTCTCTGCGACGCTGTCTATTTCTGCGAATAATTTTGGCTAAGTTGATTAAGAATAGATTGTCTACAGAAACCTTTAAAAGGACTACATAAGCGTAATTTTTTGCGCTAACTGAAATTCATTTATAGTTCAAATCTAACGCTCAATTGTTTAAAATACTTTAACACTTTTTCTCCGAACAGTGCTCAATCAATATGTCTCTTCGTTGTAGATCAGTAAAGCGAAGCCCTTCCGGAAGTCACGAATTTTAATGACAATTGTGCTCTCGGAACTTTGGATAAATTATAAGCATGTGATTTTTCTTCACAAAAAACAGTAATTTTCAAATATCCAAATGGATTATGGTATTGTAATAAAATCAGGAATATGTTCATACGGTGTTGTAAAATTTAACAGCAGTACATAAAGTGGAATAAATTTCAATACCTGAAGTAGGTGCCCAATCTGAGTGTGAATCACCTATCGATTTTATCGATTTTGCTACGCTATCTTACATCTACTATTTGGTTATTAGTCAAAATTTTTATGTAATCTTTAGTGCCTGTTTTATTATCCCAATAAATATCCCATCACTCACTTATCTGGAGAAGAAACTTTCTAACGGCTAGGAAGT